ACTTTGGACGGACGCAAATTGTTGCCTTTTGCGCGATCGACTGTGTATCTCTTTCTCTCGCTCTCTGCGCCGCCGACACCGCGGGTTAGTCCGCGTTCTTCTCTCACCTGCACCCGCCGTTAATCATTCTCGCGTACGTGCGACCTGGCAAACATTTGGGTAGAAATTAATAATCATCAACACTTGAGACAAAGGCAATAAGAAAGAAAATACTTTGTATTTCTGGCACTCTCTCTTTCGCGCGCGTCCTGATTTACAGAGCAGCCGTTAGTAAGACAATTCGAGAAACAAACAGCGACTCATTAACTCTGCTCCGCCGCGGCCGCGGGAGGGCCGGCAGGATCGCGCGAGGCGGCTGCGTTGCTGTCGAGGTGGTCGAGGTATATTTCTGTGTGTTGGCGGCCGAGCCGTGTTGTGATCCACCTTGTGTCTGTGGCGGCGGGCGGGGCGGGAGGGCGCAACATCCACACAGTAAGAGCGGGTGGCAGGTCTATGGCGAGCCGAGCCGTCGCCACCTTCACGCCGGTCTGGCACGCGCCACGTCAAGCCGCCGCCGCCGCCCCCACGCCACGCGACGAGCTCAATGGGGAGATCGTCTTGGGCGGGATCGTACACCCTCCTCCTCCCGTCCCCCTCTCCCTGTCTCTGTCTTTCCCTCCCCCGCCCCATCGGTGCTCCAGCGCGACTCTGTAGTCCTCCTTTTGTACCTCACCTCCAGCCCCAATAAACCTCTCTCTCGCTCTCTCTCTCTCTATTACACACACACACTCGCCCACACTCTGCCGTAGGTCCAGGTGCTCTGCGCCCTCTGCACTACTTTTGGTCGAGGGTGTCCTGCTGGTCGCTGGGCTCCCCTCCTCCCTCTCTCGCCCTCCTCCTTCTTTGAGCCGCACGCCCCCTGACCCTGACGGCCCCCGCGGACAAGCCGGAGGAGCTGATCTACATCCCGTAATTGGACGCCCGCTGGGTATACACAAACTCGCTATCATACACGCCTTAACGCATGCACCGCGTGCGTCACGCTTTGGCGTCACTCTGTGTGTGTGTGTGTTTCTCTCGGTTTCTCTCTCCGACGCGACGGTAGTCTACCCCCGCTCCCCCCCCCCTTTCTCTTGCGAAGTTTTCCCAGGCGTCCTCCTTGTCCACACAAAGTAAAAGGATTTGAGTTGAGCCCGGCGTCGCCTATGTGAATATTCAAGAGCCGAAGAACTACAGCTCCGCTGCACAGTCGGTTGTCTTTGCTTTTCTATCCCCTCACGGTAAAGATGTGCGCGCGCGCGCCCCATAAGGATGGAGAGAGAAACAGAGAGAGAGCGTGTACTCTCGCTACCGCCACCCCCACGCCAAATATAGAAAAGAAGCGACTCTCGTTGACTACGCGGATTTATTGTCGGACCAGTAGAGGAGGCCCTGCCCTGCCTCCCCCCTAACCCTTCGGCCGCCCCTCCCCTGCCCTCCCCTCCCCGCTCATGACGGTCCATGGCAGCTCATGGCATCTGTAGAGCAGCGCGGGCTCGCGATCTGTTCCCAGAGCAACTAGCGAAACGGGAAGGGTGGGGGGA